TAATCCATATATATATATATAAACAGAAACTCTATAAGGAATTATATTTAAACTGTAGCCCCCTTTTTAACAGATGAGAACATTCATTCAGTTTACTTTTGAAAGTGAATGCAAAGTTTGATTTTGCTTTAAATGTGAATAATTTCAATTGTAAATCATGCTGGTGATTATTATTATTAATAAACAATTAAGAGAAAATAAATAAACAAAGTCGAATTGATTTTATATCATTTATTCTTTTCTATACCCCTGTGGAATCGCTGCATCAGTCTCCAAGCTGTGGCAAATTATATTTTAAACAGCCAGCTGAATTTTTGGAACTAGCAGGTGGCTCGACTTTCATATTGATGACATAATCTCATATCATGACATAAGTGGTTCCCTACATGAGCTTATATGTATATGTTTAAATAACTGTTGTCTAGTGGTGAACAATTTTTTTACTTCATTTTTTGATGTAAACACATTAACCTTGCTTCCATTAGGAAAAATATTTTCTCAAACAAAGAATCAGTAGTATTGGAGTCTCTATATTTGCTTCTAATGTTATTGTCGATTCACGAATTTAATTTTTGAGAAACTTAAGTAGTAGCTAATGCAAGAAAGTACTCAATTATTTCAAAAATTAATAACTCTTTTTACAGCAGAACTTCCCGCTTGAAGTGTCACATAGCCTATCTGCTCCCCTCCTGCGATAGAGTTGTTTGTATTATGATGATTATACTGAATGCAGTTCTGCCAACTTCCTACACTTGGTGAAAATTTCTTCTAGTTGTAGCTAAGTTTATCTTTCAATGTATGATTTCTTGTTTTATAAATTTGATTTAAAGTTATTTTCCACTTCCACACCACTACATTCAAAGAAATCAAAAGTTCATATAAGACGTGATGGGTGAACTTTCACATACTTTCAAAGTTACAATAAGTTCTAAAATATTCAATATTCCACTATATCGTAAACTATTTTGCAAAAAGCGTAAGTAGTTGGCAGGTCTGTAAATTTAATAATTAGAACTATTGGATCTACAACTTCAACTAATTTATTGCAGATTTGGAGAAAGACCCCCTATTTATATCAACGTTATACGTGATCCAGTTGAACGAATCATTTCATCCTTTTTCTACAGGAGAATGGTAGCAAGGCAAAACAAGACAAGCGTGAAACCAAGTGCTTATTGGTTAAATAAAGTAAGTTAACAATGTTATTGTTTCTGTAACAAAATAGTTAGACATATTTTAATTTATAAGGAATATTAACCCTTTCGCGCCGACTGTCACAAATACGTGACAGCATAAGACCGTATCAATCAGGGTAAAAATATAAAACTGGTAGTCAAAGTATTTCTTTAGCAGTTTATTTGTGGGCGGAGTTATAATTGTTTGATTTATTTAATTCACCATTACTTTGTTCAAAATAAAACTATTTAGTTATACTTTGAATTAACATTGATTATATATATGTTTAAACTAACAATGATTAAAGTAAAAGCAAAGCAAGTCTGTCAAATCAGCAACGACTACATTTAAGTTACCGTTTTTTATTTAATTACAACTTGATTCTGATTTTGCACGAATGCTTTTCTGAATCACCCGTCCCCAAGGGGTTAAAATCAACAGTTACAACTGTAAACAGAGATAGAACGCGTGGGTCGCAACACAAAAGGGGATAAATTGCTTACCCTGAACTGAATTAAAACTTAGCCACTATTCGCATAGATACCTACTCGGAATCAAGATTAACCCGATCGCGCCATATGACGAGTGAGACTCGTCATGCATTTACTACCAATAAATAAAAAGTGGTCATATATATTTTGCTGTCAGTCTATTTCAGAAAAAAATTATGCATTGATAACTACCACATCCTATAATCGACAAAACTTTTAGTGAAGGTGTCAGGTTATATTTAGTAATTATTTAACAAAAAAAACTTTTTTAATCAGAAACTTACGAGCAGGTTTTCAATTTGATTGTTTACACTCAGTTTGGAATTTAAATAAATCGGATCCAATGGGCTAAAAACCAATAAGCCTGCAGGGTCCTGATATTCATAGCAACATCTTTATGGAAAGTGGATTGTTTTGTAATAGGGGAACGGAAGAGAATGCATATCGGAATTTTTCCTGCAACAGATATATCACACAAAATTTATTTTTGATTTTAGAATTTAGAAATCGAAAACAAAATATTAAATTTCTAATAGCAAAATTTATTTAAAAGCTTTTCAGTCCTTCGAGTTTGCCACACTTTTTGTTTATTTTTAATTATTTATTTATTTTTATTTATTTACTTTTTTCTATTTTCATTCATTTTTCTGTAATGGCTGGGATAATTTTTATGGCACTTAACCTTAAAAAATATCAAGATAGCGAATACCCGACAATAATCCATAGGTGTAACGAATAATTAAAAGTAGTTGTGGAGAATACCGGACAATTGCATTTTGCTATAAAAAAAACAATAATGATAAGATACGATGCATTTTCTAAATTTTTAAACGTGTAAAGAAAATATAACAATCCGCTCCCAATAGAAATACACCCTGGAATTTAAAATGTAACGCTGCAGGCTTATTTTTTTTTAAACTTGCAACTCAGAAGTCCAAGCTGATCACGAAACAATTAAAGTATACTTGGCGGGGATGCCACATTCGATTAAAATTATAAGACGTGATAGAATTCAATTCTTTTTTATTTAATCTGTTTAATTATTCAATTGTAACTACTAATTGTAATAATTATAAATACGACTTACATTGTAAATTATGTATGTATCTAAATCAAATATAATCTTTTCACATGGCTGTCAACTTTCAACGCTTTTTATAAAAAATTATTCTAGTAGTAGCTTGTTCATATTTTAAAATATTTTTTTAATTCATTTAAATTTATTTACTACACCACTACATATCAATGGTTTAGAAGCTCATATGCAACACCACTTTGTTTCAGTACTTCCGCAGTAAAGCTTTTTAACTGTTGACCAAATTTCCCCAAAATTCTGAAAGCTTTGGTCTTTAAGTGTCTACCACGCTATAAAATATTTTTCGAAAAGCGTAGTAGTTGGCAGGCCAGTTTTCATTCACTTATAGAAAAGTTTTGAAACAATTCAGGATTATTATTTCAGTCAATACACTACGTTTGCCAACTAATTTATTTTTTGTTGACAATTTCTGAAATTTGGTAAATTTTTTAAAAATCTGCATTTTTTTTGTAAATATTACTGTAGTTGCACGGAGAGAAAATATTACAAAAAAAAATTCACTTGCAATATTTCAATCAATACACAACTTTTGAGTAATAATTTATTTTCATCTGACAAATTTTAAAGATTCGGAAGTTTTACAAATATTGTTTTTTGAAAATTTAAGAATTTTGCGGAATATGAAGATGGTGTGTAAAAAATTCAAAAAAAAATTAAGAGTGATATATTTGACCACATACAACTTTGGTAAGGTAGTGATTTTCAATTATCGAAGAAAAAAAATTTGCTCTACACCAATATTTATGCTTATTGATCAATATTCAAAAAATTTTTTCTAGAAATTCGAACACTGCGTTTTAGCAGGTGATCCAGAATGCACCCTTGTTGAAGGACAAAACAACACTTTATTGCAGTTGCCGTACTTCTGCGGTCAAGATAGCATATGCCAGTAAGTGAAAAAAAAATTTATACTCTAGCTGCTAGCCCTTTACCCCTTCATCGTGAGATGGGATCCTTGAGGTGTTTCCTTGTGGTTCTGGTAATCTAGAATTGAAAGTAGAAAATTAGTAATGAGCAAATTGCTCATGTGAAGTCACATAGAGTGATACATGTTGTAAATACATATATAAAAAATACAATAAAATACAACTACATAAAATACGATAAAATAGTACATAAAAATAAAGATAAGATAAATAATAAAATTTTAACTTCTGATGAGAAGTTTTATGCTTTCATGTATTTATTGTAATTATTTATATGTAGTGGTGGTCAAACTCATTTATAATTATCATTATAATTCAAAAAGTTAATTGGAATAACCTGAGTATTGCTACCACTTTAAATATGAAAATAAAATCTTGCCGAAAATCCGGAAGAGTTGGCAGGTATACCCTCAATATTAGCAGATTGAAGCAGTTACATATGGCACTCGTACACGCAGGTCATAGCGTGGATGCCGACTAAATACAGTCGTAACAAAAGGGTAAAACGAATTCCGCATAAGTCTTAAATTGAAGCTACCACTAAAACAGATAAAATTTACATATTAAGTTTCTATTAATGTGACCACCAAGCATATTTGCAATGCACATTTTTTACTGCATTTTTGTTAATTGAAGTATCTGCTAATAACTGAGTTACTAAAAGATACTGAATGAAAATTAAGCTATCATGTATTTTTCGTAGTTTCATAAAAAAAAATCTTAAAGTGGTAGCAAGGATATAGTGTATTTTAATAAATTAGTATTAAAAGAACTTTGTTCACCACTAAACACAAGTTTTTTAAACAGGTAAATATCAAATGATGTAGACAAGATTTCTTATAATTTAAAAAAAAAATGTTTGTTTGTTTCAAACAATTATGCTTTAGATCATTGTCTCTGAAAAAAATAATTCGAATCTACGGAGAATCCAAAGTAGTAGTTGGAGTCTCTAATAAATTTAATGCTTTAATACGTTGCTTTAAACTGGGTTCCAACGGGCCTTGCAAATTTTAAAAAGTAATTAAGCAGAAATTAAACATATATTGATAATTTAATTTCTGTGTAACTACCACTAAAAATAATTTTCAAAAAAAGTATATATTCATGAAGATTTAAACTTCTAAGCCACTTACCCCTTTGATTTGAGCTCTAGCTGCATACACTGCTACCCCACTCAGATGAATGAGTTAGGGCCCCTTGGGGCCGATACTTAGATATCCACCTCACATAGGCATAGGTACTTCTAAGCCAGAGGTCGCCAAAGTGGTCTATATAGACCCCCAGGGGTCTATTTAACAAAAGCGGGGGTCGATCTGAGACAGGGGGGCGAATGGGGGTCGATCCGAATCGGAAGGGTCGATTGTGCGTCGAAAAAAAAAACAGTTCTCAATGCGCAAATCACACATACCTAATTAAGTATGTAAAATTTGCGAATTTTTTTTTATAATTGACTCAATATCAGTTTCTTTATAAAACATAAATTAATAAACGTATATTTATTGGGGTGAAACAAGTATTTACGTACCACCGC